TGGCTGCAGGGACAGAGGCCAGCCCGGAGCTCAGCGGTGAGTGGGGCGCAGGGGATTTGGGGACCACGAGGGGTGGGGTGTAAACCAGGCTTGGCTGGGTGGCTTGTGGAGTGTGGGGGATCCCATGGGAGATGCGCTGACTCTGGCCCAGCACCTAAAAAGCTGCTGTGGGGCAGGTGGGGAGGATGTGATTTCATCTGGGCAGAGCTGACGGCACAACTCTGGGTCTGAGTCAGTCACACCACGAGGAGAATCGCCCACAGCCTCCCTGCTGATGCTTCACCCCCCCAAAAAACAGCGTCTGAGCGAGAGCGTGTCAGTGCTGGGTGGAGGCACTGTGATGCTTCTGCCACTGGAGGAACCTCTGCTCTAAAGCACAAACCCCATCCACATCTCTGCTGTCCCCTTGGATGCTGCTGGCCCCTGGGAGCAGCGCTGGCTGCGGCTGACGAAGGGTTGGTGGCCATAGGGGAATTGAAAGGGGCTCTTTGTGCGGTTGAGCCTGGCACTGGTTTGTGGATGGAGGGACAGAGGGACAAGCGTGGGGCTGGGAGCCAACTCTCCCACCTGCTTGTGTTCATTTGGGGGCTGGGGAGCTGCTGGCTGTGCCCCGCCTTCCCAGCACCCTCCATCCTGCATCCCCGTGTCCTGCATCCCTCAGCAACCTGCATCCTTCCCTGTCCTTCATCCCTCAGCATCCTACGTCCCCCAGAGCCCTGAATCCTGCCTGGCAGGAAGGCTCATCGCCCTCTCCCCACCCCCAAGCCTTCAAACAACAGAGGGAAAGCACCAAGATAAGTTGCTTTGGGACACAAACTACACAGGATTAAAGGAGAGAAACACCCCACGCTGGGAATTCAGGATGAGAAGCGGGAACTCTGCCCACCCAGAAGGATGTGGGCTGGGAATTTCTCATCCATCGGGCTCTTCCCATTTCCGCTGATCATCTCCTGGTCATCTTTTCTTAGTGACCTTGGTGACCATTCTGGCCATCATCTGCGATCCCTCCTCAGCTCACTGCTGTGTCCCCCTGCAGGGTACCTACGCAAGGTGCTGCGGAACCACACGGTGCACACGTGTGATGGGGAGCAGCTCCTCATCCTGTGCCCTCGCAAGACCACCATCAGCATCCTGGGTGCCTTCTACGGGCGCCGCGTGCCCAGCCCCAACCTGTGCCCCAGCCCCGGCAACGTGTCCCAGGAGAGCACCGAGTGCATGTCACCCACAGCCCACCTGGTAAGGGCAGCGTCCCGGGACATTTGGGCTCGTGTGTGGCTGTGTTTTGGGGGCATTTCTAGGAGAGCAGGGTGCGTGGGATCCCCTGTGCTGAGTCCCTGGGAAGTGGCGCTGCTGCAGCTCAGCCAGCACCAAAAGCCAGCGTCCCCTGAACGTCCCCTCAGCGGGGACGGTACCAGGTGCGGCGTGAAGCCTCGTCCCCATCTTGCGGCCGTGAGCTTGCATTGCACGGGGCCGTCCTGGAGCGAGGCTGGGGCTGCGAGGGCGTTGCACGGAGCTGCAAGACATGCGCATGCCTGCAGGGGTGTTGCGCAGAGCCCTGTGTGCGCGGCTGCGCTTGCAGAAGTGCTGCATGGGGCAGTGGAAATGTGCACAGCTACTTGCAAAGGCGTTGCACGGAGCTATGTCAGTGTGCATGAGTATTCCATGAAGCTGTATGAGTGTGCATGCCTGCACGGGCATTGCATGGATCTTTGTGGTTGTGCGTGCTTACGAGGGTGTTGCTTGGAGCCGCATGAGTGTGCCTGCCTGCATGCATGGATCTTGCAGGAAGCTGAGTGTGCACGCCTGCGTGCTCGCAGCATAGACATTGCACGGAGCAGTGTCTGTGCACACATTTTGTGCTGCAGTGCAGCTGTGCGTGCCTGCCCGGGCACCATGCACAGTCTGATTTGGGATTTGGACACCAAAATTGCCCACAAGACCACGTGGCCACTGTGGGGGCGACAACAACAGCCACAGGACAGAGGTGACAGCATAGAGGTGACAACGGCCCGGCGTCCTTCCACCAGCCTCACACCCGCCCCGCTTTGCCCTGCAGAAGCTTCTGGCTGAGTGTCAGGACCAGCAGTGGTGCCAGTTCTCGGTGCACAGCCAGGTGTTCGGGCCGGATCCCTGCCCTGGCACACACAAGTACCTCATCGCATCCTACAAGTGCCGGCCAGGTGGGCAGCACCCACGGGAACCCAGAGCTGGGCAAGAGGAGAAGATTTGGGGTGTCACGCTGGGTCACCCTAGGGTATCACCCTCTGCCCACCTCCTCCCTCCCCAGATAACCATCGGGTGAAGACAGTGTGTGAGAACAACGAGCTGAGGCTGCACTGCAGGCCGAAATCCGTCCTGGCCATTTACTCTGCACACTACGGACGATTCCTGAGGGGCAAACCTGAGTGCGACGCCCCCAACGCCGGGGGACCCCATATTGGTATGAGGGGGAGGGGGTCGCAGCCCGAATGGTGGCTGGGAGCTGTGCTTAGCGCTGTGCCGATGGCCAGAGGTCCCGTGTCCCTGCAGAGTGCCTGGCCCCAGATGCACTGCGGAGGGTTTCCAAGAAGTGCCACCGCAAAGGGAATTGCACAGTGACTGCTGACCAGGCCAACTTTGGGGACCCATGCCTGCCCGGCACGAGGAAGCAGCTGCGGGTGTCCTACACCTGTGGTGAGAGTGGGACTGCGGGGCTGGGGAGGCTGTGTGTCCCCCACCCCTGGGGACAAGAGGGGTGGTGACACTTGGGATGGTGTATCTCATTGCAGTGCCCAAGCAGCTGCTGGAGGAGGTGGGCCCAGACACCTCGGATCCCTTCCTGCTCTCAAACTACATGCACGGTAATTTGGGGAGCAGAGGGGAAACCATCTCGTGCCCAATAGAGATGGAGAACCTCATAGCAATCCACCTCAGAGCAAACAAGGGTGTTTTCTGCTGGGGAAAAGAGGGGGTCTGGCACATAGACACCCCAAGGGGAGGCGGCCCTTCACGTCCCCTTGTTCACTGCAGGTGGCTGGTACAAAGGGCCCAGGTTCTCCAGGCTCCGGGAAGACCGGATGATTTTTACTAGCTCCCTGGCAGCTTTTGCCCACCTCCGGGGTACGTGGCCCCAAAGTATTGGGTTGGTGGGGGGGGTCTCCAGGCCCAGGCACCCTGTGTGTTGCAGCAGGGCGTGCACCCCGATGCCTCTCTTTGCTCTTTTCCCCCCACCAGATGTCCCTGAAAAAGTCGCTCTCTACTTTCTCTGCGGGGTGTCGGCGGGCCTCGCTGTGCTGCTGTGCATCGTCAGCCCCAAGGCTGCCTTCCTGCGGGAGGCCAAGGAGGTTCTGCTGGGCCCAGGTGGCCGCTCAGAGGCAAGCAGGACCAAACTGCGGGACGAGCAGGATGAAGACCTGCCTGACGACAGCTCCTCCGACTCCTCCTTCCGCCGCCTCACCCGCGCCTACCGTGCCACGGAGAGCATCTTCGGCCCCGAGCTGACGGCAGCCATGGAGGGAGCGGCCGAGCAGCAGGGCCGTGGTGGGGAGGAGATCTGGATGCCCAAGGAATCCAGTCCCTACACCATCCAGAAGATCAAATCGGCTACCAAGTGAGGAGATGAAGGACGAGGCGCTGTGCCGGGTGCAGTGTTGGCTCTGTGCCTCCCTGGCTGGACGGTGAACCCTGCTTACTGGGGAATGGGCTTGCTTTTTTTTAGCAAATAAAAGCAGAAGCTCAGAGTTCAGGAAATGGAGCTGTCACACCCAAGCTCCTGCCAGCGTATCCCCAATGGGCTCCGGGTCCTGGGGAAGGGGGGATTCCCATGGCCCTGAAAGGACAGTGGGGGACACATGGTCTGCAGCCACCTACACTGCATCACCACCAGCTCTTATCCCACTTCAGTCTCTCCTCTGCCATTAACAGTGGAAAGGGGAGGAGGAACAAAATGTTGAACTCCAATCCTGCTCATGCTGCTCAGCTCCGTGCGACTGGCACCGGGCCACGGGGAGCAACAAGTCAGGCCTGTTTGAGCCTGGGAAAGGGAAAGGATTTAGCTTGGGAAAGGAAGGAAAACCCATCTCTGTCCATCCCACAGATGATAATTCTCGCTCCTCCTCTCAACCCTGAGGCTGTGCCAGGGCAGCAATCCCAGAGCAAACACCTCCCAGCAGATGCTTCTCATCCTCCCCATCACCTCCAAAGCACCCAAGAGCCTCCCGAGGGCGGTGCTGCAGGGACTAGAAATTCCTGCTTCCCCCCATCAAGCCAGGCAGACACCGACCCGGCCCAGGCAGCTCACTGCTGCACAGCTGCAAGTTGTTGGCTGGGGATGGAAGCCCACAGGTGGCTGCACCCGTTTCCCAGGTGAGGGTGTGGTGTGGCCCACAGGATTTCTGTGCAGGGAGCACAGCCCTCAGGGCTTCTCGTCAGAGCAGAGCCGAGCTCGCCTTCGTTCAGGCCTCAGAGCCTCAGGGCCAATGGTGGGAAAAGCTATTTCATCAATAAAGGAACCGTGTAAACAAGATAAGAGGGCGACTTTTCACATAATCTAAGAGCAACAGGACAGGGGGAGGTTTTCAGTCGGGCTTTAGTGGTAGGGAAGCTGCAGACTCAGCCTGTGTTCACCACAGACACCGGGCCTCATTAGGCCTCGCTGGGCCCAAGCACAGCTCTGCAGCCCCCCCGATGGAGATGCAGCCCCCAGAGCTTCCAGGAATTCGGGCCACGTGTCAGAAAAGATGTGTGGAGGCCAAGGAGGTCATGCAGGGCGCTAAGGGCCTCGCTGCGCTGCCGGCAGCGCATGGCACCCCACCGCCGCCGCCATGACACCGCCAAGCCGCCATGACACCGCCAGGCCGCCATGACGCCACCCCCAACTGCCCCAGCCCCGCCCCCAACCGCCGTAACCCCGCCCCCCTCCCCTCCGACGCTTCTTATTGGCTGGCGAGGCAGAATTTTAAACTCTTTTGCCCGCCCCTAAGCAACCGCATCCATCCCGGCGTTCCCATTGGCTCTCGTGCGGAGCGGCCCGCTCGCTGATTGGCCACGCGGCTCGACCAGTGCCGGCAGCCGCCGCAGCGCTGCTACTTTCAAAAGAGCCGGGGCCGGCGGCGGCTGCGTGCAGGTGAGCGGCGGTGGGATGCATTAGCCTGGAATTCCCGTTTGTGACCCCCTGGTTTTATTCCTACCTACGTGTGGAGCTCCGTCTTGTGTCACTGGGTGCTGAGCTGGGCCCTTGCCCTATAGGCACCGAGACCTCGTGGAGGGAAGGAGGGGTGGGGAGGTCCCACTGCACCCCTCTCCCCATATCTCTTTGCTTCTCCCACCCCCCCCGGTGCTTCCCGATGTTTGGGCCTCTCTGCGGGGCTGGGAGGGCGCCTCTGAGCTTGCTATTGGTTGCATTGGGCCCTGCAGCCCTTTCGCTGCGGGTGTGCGGTGAGATTTGTATCCCCTCCCCCCCTCATAACTGTGCCCACCCCCCTCTTTGCTCGCAGAGGCCGAGGAGGAGGATGCCGGTGGCACGCAGCAGCAAGGCACAGAGCAGCAAGCAGCCCCGAGCCAGCAAGGCGCCCTCTGTTACTGAGAATGTCCCCCAAGAGAAGGTATGGCTGTGGGCTATGGGCAGTTTGGGCTCCCTATGGGGTGCCCCCAGCCCCACATCACTGGCTGTGTTGCAGGAGGAGGGCTGCCAGGCCAAACGCTCCCCATCCTCGCCCCAGGGAGGACCCAAGAAGAGGTCAGCGTTTGGGGACATCACCAATGTGAGTGCATTGCTGTGCTTCCAGCCCCCTCACCCACCCTTCCCCCAGAAGCACAGATGAGCCTCACCTTATCTCTTTGCTACGTTTTTGTCTCTTTTCCCCCCCAAAACCAGGCTCACAAGAACCAGACAGTGACAGGGAAGAAGGAGGGGGTCAAAGCTCCCACCCACAAAGCAACCAGGGCCCCCTCTGCCCCGATAGTGGCCAAGAACAATGAGATCAACCTGAAAAAGTGAGTACCCAGGTGAGATGGGAGCAGGGTGTGGGGACCAGCACCCACTCGCAGCCATCCCTGTGGCGTTGGGGTTTCCCTGGGGTGCTGGAGTACGTGAGCAGGATGGGGGTGGGCAGGAGTTAGATGGGGCTTTTTGGAGACCCAGGAGATGTTTCCCTTCTGATGTTTTTGTCCTATCCAGGTCCTTGAGGAAAACCCCCCCAACAGATGTTCCTGTGGAACCTGAGAAAGATTCTGTGTCTGAGGAGCCTGTGCAGGTATGAAGCTGTCCCAGGTGATGGACCCCAGGCTGTAACCTGGCCCCCAGCTCTATTCTAGAGGTACTGGGGCATCTCTGGAAGCTGTTCAGTGTGCTGGGATGGGAGCTGGAGGCTAAACCTGCTCCTAGGAGCCTCTCCAATGGGAAAGAGAGGAGTGACTGCTGTGGGTCAGCTTGGAGAGAGGGTGTGCTACCCTGAAGAGCTCTTGGCTACCCTGAAGAGCTCTTGGCTACCCTGAAGAGCTCTTGCAAGCTTTCCCCATGCCTGTTCTCACTGCTGCCTTCTCCACACAGCAGGTCCCAGTGGTGGAAGACATAGACAAGGAGCAGCTGGGAGACCCCTATGCCAATGCAGAGTATGCCAAGGAGATCTTTGACTACATGCGAGAGAGGGAGGTGGGTGATGAGTGATGTCTGCCTGGGGAGTCCTGCGTGGGGTGGGAGGGGGCTCATTTTGGGAGGGAGTCCCTGACTTCTGCTGCCTTGACAGGAAAAGTTCCAGCTCCCTGATTACATGGAGAAGCAGCCAGATATCAGCAGGGACATGCGTGCCATCCTGGTGGACTGGATGGTGGAGGTGCAGGTAGGCAGGCATGGGGAGGGGGCTTGGATTTGTCCCATGTTTTATATAGGGCGCGAGCCACTCCGGACCTACGAACGTCCCCAGTTCAGAGCTCCTCCTCATCCCCTTCCCCATGCTGATGATGAGGCTGTGAATGCCCCAGAAATTCAGGCTTTTGCCCGTCGCCTCATATCTTTGCAGGAAAACTTCGAGCTGAACCATGAGACACTGTACCTGGCAGTGAAGCTGGTGGATCACTACCTGGTGGAGGTGGTGAGCATGAGGGACAAGCTGCAGCTCATTGGCTCCACTGCTGTCCTCATCGCCTCCAAATTCGAGGTGAATCTTGGGTGTGGGTTTTGGAGAACGCTGGGGCTCTAAAGCCCTGGGGTGGCTCACCCATCCTTGTGCTGCCCCTCTCTGTGCCGAGGGCTGAATCCTGCCTACTGGAGACCTGGCTCCTCTCTGCTGTTTGGAGACTGCCAGGGTACCGGGGTGTCACGATATGATGCTCCTGGCAGGAGATGTACCCTGAGAAGGCCTGAAAATTGCGTAGGCTCCCCCCAAATGTTATCAGGATGAGTTCTGAGCAGTTCCTCCCTGCAGGAGCGCTGCCCTCCGTGCGTGGATGACTTCCTGTACATCTGCGACGATGCCTACAAGAGGGAAGAGCTCATTGCCATGGAGACGAGCATCCTCCGCACCCTCAACTTCGACATCAACATCCCCATCCCCTACCGCTTCCTGCGGCGCTTTGCCAAGGTGGGGCTCGGCCACCTCCCATGGGCTGTGACACAAAGGGAGGGAGAGAAGGGAGGGTTAGGGGTGATGGCGTTGACCTGAGGCCTTGGGATCTGCATCCGGTGCCCCAGAAAGAAGGATGCTGGGGTGGTGCTGCTTAAATCTGAGCCTTCTGCCCACAGTGTGCCCGTGCCTCGATGGAGACGCTGACCCTGGCCCGTTTCCTCTGTGAGATGACCCTGCAGGAGTACGACTACGCACGGGAGCGTCCCTCCAAGCTGGCTGCCAGCAGCTTGCTGTTGGCGCTCACCATGAAGAACCTGGGTGGCTGGGTGAGAGTGGGAACGTGGGAAGGGATGGAGGGCCGAGGTGACAGCGCAGGGCTGGCTGTGGCTTACCCCTCGTCGCTCCGCAGACCCCCACTCTGGAGTATTACAGCGGGTACTGCGCTCAGGATCTGCACCCCTTGGTGAAAAGGTTGAATTTTCTGCTCACCTACCAGCCCTGTGACAAGCTGAAGGCTGTGCGCACCAAGTACTCGCACAGGTGAGTGTGCCAGCAGCCCCTGGGGGCTCTCCTGGGGGTGCCAGGGCTGCTGCAGAGCTCTGTAACCCCACACAACTCCTTGCAGGGTCTTCTTCGAGGTCGCCAAGACAACCCCCATGGACATGATGAAGCTGGAGGAGAAGTTGAAAAGCTAGCCCTGCCTCTGTACATAGCCTGTAAATAGCGGGGTGGGAGCACTGTGTACATAAAAGGGGGGAGAAAACAAAAAACCAAACCCAAACACTGTTTTTACTGAATGGGGAAAAAAAAAAAAAGTGATGTAGAGCTGTCAATAAAATATTGTGTATATCTTAATGTGGTTGTAGTAGGGGCTGCACGTGGAGGGGATGCAGGGACAAAGGAGGGGCTGGAACAGTGCCCGGGTCCCATCTTCTTTCTGTCCCCAAGCAGTGATTTGACACCAGCAGCAGCAATAAATATCTTTTCTCCAAATATTTACACAGCTTAAATACCAACATAGAGAAAGGGGGAGATCTTTTTGCTTTGGCCCCATACTGCAGCCCAGCTCCCTGGCTCCTGTAGTGACCCTGCACCCGCCGGCACCTTCAGCCCCCGAGGCTCAGGGAGAAGCAGCAGCTCCAGGGATGCTGGGGGGACAAACAGACAAAGCAAGGCAAGCGGGGAGGGGGGAGAGGGTTCCATACACACACGCACACACACGCGCGCACAGGGGGCAGCAGGGACCCAGGCCCCCCAGCTCCTGGCAGCCTAGGGTGGGTTGCTGAGCTCCTTAATGGCTTGCAGGATTCTCTTCATATGGCCGACTTTGGTGATGCCCAGGTCCTGTGGTTGGGGAAAGAGGAGCTGCAAAGCTTTGCTCCCCTGAGTGGAGCACAGGCATGATGCTGGTGAACCAGGGGCTGGGGCCAGCTCCCTCCCCACCCTTGTGTCCCCCCTGATAGGGGACAATGAGGTCGAAGGAGGGAGGGGGACACAGTGCTCTCTTGTGCTGAGATCTAGGAGGTGGAAACGGGCTGCGGTACCTTCAGGTCTCTCCTCTCCAGCAGGATCAGCTCCGAGCCCTGGATGTCGTGTCGGATAAAAATCTCTCTGTATTCCCCTAACCCAAGTGTTTCCAGCCAGGCGGCCACCTCCTCAGCACCCCACTTGTCCGCTAGAAGGGAGAGAAACCCCAGAAGTGAAGCAGGGCACTGGAATGCAAGTGTGGCAGATGCTGCCCCTTGTTCCCTCCACCTCTTTATGGGGCTCTTTCACTTCTCTATGGAGTATCCAACCATCTCCCTTTGCTCGATCAGCCTCCCGTGGGGCTGAGCTCTACTGCATCTCCTTCTCTCATCCCGTTGTACGTGCAGCTCTTTTACCTGGGAGCGCGCTGTTGCTCTTTTGCTTCTGTGCCTTGTCCTTCCTGGGCTTGGGGATGTTGAGGCGAAGTTTGAAGCTGCCCTTATTGGCACTGCTGGCACTCTCCTGCAAGAAACAGGGCTGAGCCCACCCTTACACCCAACACAGCCCCCCCCCCCCCCCCCCCCACCATTATGCACCCACCTCCTCGCTGGGGTGGGCGATGGGTCCCAGCCAATGGATGTCCAACAGCCGCTGCAGCTCCTGGCCCAATGCGCTTAGGGGGCCTTGCAGTGCTTCCTCCTCCAGGGGTGAGTCCAGCTGTGGGGGACAGGGACCGTCCCCAGCCCCAGTGCCACCTGCTGGCGGGGGGGACAGCTGGGCTGGAGGGCTCGGGGGGGTCCCCAGCCCCACACTCACCGCCTTCCCCTCCAGGAACGCTCTGGTCTCAGTATAGAGAGCTTTGATGCTCAGCACCACCTCCACGGCTGCGTTCCTGCTGAGAAACTGTGGGGGCACAGGGGGGTGAGCACAAAGCCAAGGGTCTGCCAGGATGGGGATTTGACCCCCCAACCCTGCTCACCTCGGGGGTGCCGGCAGCTTTGTTGCAAAGCGCATCGCTCAGCGCCGAGGTGCTGGTATTGACGGCGTGTGCCAGCTCCTGCTCCACGCCTTTGTGCGCCTTGGCTGCCTCGCGGATCCTGCAGCAGGGATGGGATGGAGCCAGAGTGTCCCTGTGCCCCCAGCAGCCCCTCGCCCCCATCCTGACCTGGCAATGAGGGTCTCAGCCACGCGTGACAGCTGCTGCAGCAGGCTGCTCTCCTCCTCGGTCAGGTACTCCATGGACTGCTGTGAGCTGAGCCGTGGCCGCGCGGCTGTACGGTAGCTCTCCCCCTTCTGTTTGTCCTCCCATGACTTCAAGGTGCTTTCAAACGCCTGCAGGGGCACAGAGGTCCCAACCCTGCTCGCCCCACAGCCCCACAGCCCATCCCGCAGGGCTCACCCGGTCCCTGGTCAGCATCTGTGCCCGGTTCTTGTGCTGGATCCGGATCACGCCTGGCGGTTGGATCCATGCTTCCCCATCCACCTGCACCGGGACGCCCTCATCCCCACGGATGGTGATCTTCACCACGCGGCACTGCGGGGCAGACAGGGCTGGCACCGGGGCCGGCAGAGAGCAGCACTGTGCGAGGCTCCCCCCGGCCCTACCTGTGCGATGCGGTGGTGCTGCAGGTTGATGACCCGTGACACGGCCATCTGGATGCTGCCAAACACAGCCACCACCTCCAGCTTCTTGTCGTCGAAGGACGGCGCGCCGAAGTTCTGCATGGGAACAGCCCCGCCACGCTGGGCTCAGTGCCCCCTGCCCCAGTGACAGAGAGGTTTTCCGTCCCCCCCCCCGCAGCTCGCACTCACGTTGTCCTCCTTGGTGCCACCCCAAAAATTGATGCCCCCTGCGTAGCTGGGGATGTTGAGCACGGCGATGCCCTGCAGGCTGGGCAGCGAGATGGGTACCCCGTCGCACTGCAAGAGAGGGCTGAGCCTGGGGGGCCACCCCGCTGCCCCCACCCCAGCCCCGCTCCCAGCCCTGACCCCATACCTCCAGCTGCACCCGCTGCTCCAGGTTCTTGTAGGTGCGCTGCAGCAGCTCCTTGGTGCCCAGCACCCCGTACCACATCATGTTCTTGGTGCGGCTGCTGCGGGGTGCCGTGGGGGAGGTGAAAGGCCACCGGCCCCACAGCATCCCAGTGATCCCACCCAGCATCCCAGCAGTCTATCTCAGTATCCCAGTGCTCCTCCCCATCATCCCGCTATCCTGGCATCCCAGTAATTTCTTCCCAGTGGTCCCTCCTTGCATCCTAATGGTCCCTTTCAGCAACCTTTTGGTCCATCCTGGCATCTTTGCTGGCATCCCCATATTCCCTTCCAGCATCCCAGTGCTCCCTCCCAGTGTCCCAGTGGCATCCCAGTGGCCCTTCCCAGCATCCTGGCATCCCTGTGATCCTTCCCGGCACCTTGACAATCCCTCCCAGCAATCTCTTCCCAGCATCCTGGCAACACAGTAGTCCTTTCCAGCATCCCAGTGATCCATCCCAGCAATCCCTCCCCACATGGGCACCATGGAGCTGGGCTGGGGGGAACCCACACATCCCACACTTTTCCCAGGGGAGTCTCTCAGCCAACCTGCACTTCTTAGGGTGCTCATCCCTCTTGTTGTTGAACTCCAGGGAGATCTTGGCATCCAGGCCAATGCCAAAGTAGTTGTTCATGACACATTTTTCTGAGAAGTGCCTGAAAGCAGCGGGGGTGGCACCAGGACACGAAGCAAAAACCCAACAGAGCCCCACGGTGACCCCAAACTCACAGCACACTGGGATCCTCGGGGAATTGTAAGCTGCCAAAGGTGTCCGGACGCTCCAGGAGGATGGATGAGGTGGCCGAGGTCACCGTCTCCCGCCGAGAGCCTGCAGGGTGGGTTGGAGGTGGCTGCTGGGTGAGCCCACCCCACTGCTCCCCTCGAAGCCCCCCTTAAAAGATGCTGCGTGCCAAATGGGAGCCTTACAGAGCCGTTCCTCCTCCTTGTTGAGCTCCTCTGAGCTGTCCTTCTTGATGGGAACCACGGTGGCCTGATATGCTTGGGTCTGCTTGTTCTGCTCATCCACAGCTGGGGGGCAAACACAGCACAGCGGTGGGGCCAGAGCACCCCCCCCCCTGCATCCCAACAGCTGCCCCCAGCCCCAGGGCATTGCCCCAGCCTGCCCCAGCCTTTGGATCACCCTGGAGATGGGACGATGCTCCTTTGGGATTGCACAGTGATGAACATTCAGAGGGCAAACTGAGGCACGGCTCGTCCCCGTGCCACCCCCTCACCTCTCTCAGCCTGCTCGATGATCTGCCGCAGGGCTTTCTTCAGGCTGTTGGCCCGCAGCATCAGCTGCTCCTTGGATTTGAAGATGCGGGGCACAGGGCTGGGGGCGAAGCCGCCTTTCTCCAGCTCCTTGGCATCGGTCGGGGTGCCCTGCGGGGTCCCCTCGGGGACCACGATGGCCTGAGCCTCCTCGGTCAGCTCCCTCACCAGCGAGTCCAGCTTCTCATTCAGCATGGCGCACTGTGGGGTGGCCACACGCTCAGCCCTCTGCCTGGCACCCCAAGGCACGGGAACCCCAAAGGATGGGCACCCCAAATCCCGTGCTGTTCTGGACACCCCACGTTTGCTTGGGTACCCAGTTGTTTGAGCATCCCATGCTTGCCCGACTACCCAAACGCCTGGATGCCACGTGCTTACCTCGGTACCCCAAGTGCTGGGCATCTCTGAGCGCCCCAAGTGCCTGGAAATCCTGAATATTTGGGCACCCCATGCTTCCCCGAGTACCCCAAGTGCTTGGGCACCCTTCAACACCCTGAGTGCCTGGGCACCAGATGCTTACCTGGAAATCCTGTGTATTTGGGTTTGCAATCAAAGTGCCTGGGACCCTAAGAACTTGAGCACCCAGCTTCCTGGGTACTCTGGGCACCCCAAGTGCCTCACTATCCCATACTCTCCTGAGCACCCCAGGAGCTTGGGCACCCCTATGGCATGCACACCCCCAGCAGCCCCCCACCACCCCCAGGCCCACCTTTCTGGCCATCAGCTCTGCCTCCTGTTTGTTCTCAGTTGCCCTCTTGTAGGCACGGCCAACTTCAGCCACGAAATCATTGACGGTGCCGCAGAGGAATCTGACAAGGGAAGCAGTCAGAGAGTCATGGGACCAGTGGTGTCTTGGGGGGACCCATCCCCAGCAGCCCATCCCCAGCAACCCCGTACTTTGCAGATGAAATCACCACTGAATGCTTGTCCGACTCCAAGATCTTGGCCAGGTGGAAGGCAACGGAGTCGGCGTAGTGGGAGATGTGGGCCTGGGGAGAGGACAGCTGGATGGGTGTCCCAAGCCAGGATGGGGACATGGCGCTGTGTCCATCCCCTCAGTACAGGGACGCACAGCAGTCCGAGC